CATTTTCAGAAACCAACCTCTCAAACTGTTTGCCTATGCATTACTATATTTATTATACATGTCATTTTGTATCTAAGATTACATTATGGACATACTGCCATGTTAATAAACATAAATCTATGTCATAATTTTAGTGGGTGGATAATATTTAAAAACTAGTACTTTATGTAAATGATCTTTTGTTAATTATTTTAGTCATTTATATTTACTAGTATAAGCACTGTTTTGATCATCTTTGAACATATATCTTTGCACAGTTTTTCAGTTGTTTCTTTAGAATACATATTAGAAGTTGTATTTTTTGTCAAAGGTTATGTTTGAGGTTTTTGCTTAATATTTCAAAACAAAATATATTTTATGTAGTAATGTGAAAAATACAGGCTTAATCACAATTATTAGTCATAAGCATTTTTAAATTACTTGCTAGCCAGACACGATGCCTCATACCTATAATTCTAGTACTTTGGGAGGCACAGGTGAGAGGATTGGTTGAGGCCAGGAGTTTGAGATCAGCCTGGGCAACATCGTGAGACCAGTTGTTTGCCAAGCATATGTGAACATTGGCGTATTAATTTGTTTTAAAATTCGAATTTGGATTTGTTTTTGCTGTATGTGGTTGAACAGTTTTGTGTTTGTCATTTGTTTTTCGTTGGTGATTACCTGTTTGCATTCTTTGCCTATTTTCCTTTTGCCATGGTTGATTTGTAACTATTCTTTATACAGTAGAGGTATATTTGCTTTGCTACATAGGTTGTAAATATATTTTCCAGTTTATTCTTTGATGTTTTACGTTCAATTTTTAAAGTTTTATAATTATACTTGTTAATCTTTTACTTAATAATGGATGTCTTTGGTTCCTCACCACAATATTTCAAAATATTCACCTCCATATTCTTGGTTATTTTTATGGTTTTACTTTTATCCATCTGCTATTTATTTTGGTGTAACTTAAACACATAGCAACCAAATCTCACAACTCTAGGCAGTACCATTTATTTTTACATTGACTAGAATGTGAACCGTGCTTCTTGGAGTTGTACAACTCACTGACTCTGGGTACTATGAAGCATTAAACCCTGTTTTTTTATTGTTTAGTTATTTCTCTAACACTACTTAATGAATAATCCATCACTTCACCACAGATTGGAAATACCTTATTTTTCATAATAAGTTCTTATATTTTCTTGAGTCTTATATGGACTTTCAATTGCATTTCAGTTGTTTGTCTATTATTTTCCTGTTTTAAATCTTGTGATTATGGTTTTTGTTGCATTTTAGTTAATTTACAGCTGGATATTTTTTTAGCGTTTTCTTTTCTTTTTCTTTTTTTTTTTTGTTTGAGACAGAGTCTCACTCCATCACCAGGCGCCAGGCTGGAGTGCAGTGGCGTGACCTTGGCTCACTGCAACCTCAGCCTCCTAGGTTCAAGCAATTCTCCTGCCTCAGCCTCTCGAGTAGCTGGGACTACAGGTGCGTGACACCACACCCAGCTAATTTTTTTGTATTTTTAGTAGAGACGGGTTTCACCATGTTGGCCAGGATGGTCTCCATCTCTTGACCTCGTGATCCGTCTGCCTCAGCCTCCCAAAGTGCTAGGATTATAGGTGTTTTCTTTTTTATAGTTTTAAATAGGAAAGTAAAATTGGACATATGCATTTTCTACCGGCATTTTTTTCATGACTATGTCTTTGAGTAATTTGTAGGGCATCTATTTCAGAAATATGAAGACATTGCTGCAATATTTGGATTTGAATTATTTTCTGATATATATTATGTTGTATTTTAAGTCTCAGTGATGAGTATCTGGTTGAGGATTTGTGATCAGGGGTTGCAAATGAGCAGAATTGTATTTTAGGAAAATGAAAATGGAAATTATGAGAGATTGCTAGCCTCTGACTCAATTCCTTCACCTCACAGTAGTCAAGGGTATTGAGGGCATAAATTATGATGATAGAAATAGAAAGTGAAAATGTATATTTTTCAATATATATTGAATATATATTTCAAATATTGAATAAATACTGAATAAATATATATTTGAAATATATATTGAATAAATATATATTAAACAGTATACCATCCGATACTGTTTAGGTCTAGAAAGACTTTCTCTGGGCTTTGGGACTAAATTATAAGTGGTTTTTTTGGCCTGGCAAACATGAATATATCCTATTTTTCAGCCATATCTCTGTCTGCCTCTACATTCATGGAGTCTGGAGTGTACCAGCCAAAGTGAATTGTTTCCCAGAGATTTGCTTTTCTTGCTTCTGTATAATTGCCCAAGCTTGTATCTCCGCGTGGTAAGCTGTTCTTGCCCTGATGTCATCAGACAGTCTCATCCCTCATTCAGAGTTCATTTCAAATGCCTTTTGCTTTCTACAGCTTTTCCAGATACTTATATCTCCTTTTCCTTTGAGCCCAGTTGTTCCTTACTTATATTCCTATTATATTTTGCTTTGTGACATTGATGTTGGCGTATTTATCTTATTTCCTCTGCTTCTGTAAGCTAAATACAACCCCAGTGTTTTATGAAATGTTCAAATTTGGCATTAAGTGAGGGCTAAGGGCTATCATAATGGACCCTTTAAAAGTGCTTTTATAATTTTTTTTAGTGCTTACAAGATAACAGACTTATATACTATAGTAACTAGGATTCATGATTACTTTTGTCGGACAGTTTAGTCAAATAAGGTTTCATGAATCTACCTGTTAGATTCTGTGACATGTTATTTACCAAGTTTTTAGAAATGTTTATGTAGTTTGAGTAAAATTGGTAAGTATATGTGTTAATATAAATAGTACTGATGGAAGAATACTGTATTTAAAAGTGTCTTATTTCTTGTATTTGACAATGGTGATAAAATATTTGCATATTGTTTTCTATCATGTAATTCAGAACACAGTTATTTTAGCTCTTATTGTACCTATTCTAACTATATCTTTGAATCAAATCATCAGTTTTGGGAATCAGAAATTTCAGGCAAAGTAGACTTTTCTTAAAATTGAGTTCTCTAGTTTATTTCAGCATTTGGTAACAGCTACTTCTGCACAAAACAGAGTGGCATTCTTGAAATTGTAGTATTCTCTTCTACTCTGGTGCCTATTCGAGTTGGTGGTCTGCACTTAACCATTTCTGTGTCAGTTATTGTCCAGAATTTTGTTGAGAGACAATATTTATGGAAGATATTTCTGAAGGTTATCAGTCCGTGCTCCAGGCAGTTCTCTTAATTAGTGAATTTCTGAAGGTTGGTTGGTAAAGGAATGAGAAGATAACTATATTAGAAAACCTGGAGGCCATTTTTGTTTTTATATAAAGACACATGCACATGTATGTTTATTGCAGCACTGTTCACGATAGCAAAGACATGGAACCCATCCAAATGCCCATCAAAGATAGACTGGATTAAGAAAATGTGGCACATATACACCATGGAATACTATGCAGCCATAAAAAAAGAATGGATTCATGTCCTTTGCAGGAACATGGATGAAGCTGGAAAACATCATTCTCAGCAAACTGACACAAGAACAGAAAACCAAACACCGCATTTTCTCACTCATAAGTGGGTGTTGAACAATGAGAGCACGTGGACACAGGGAGGGGAACATCACACACCGGGGCCTGTCAGGGGGTGGGGGGCAATGGGAGGGATAGTGGGGGCAGGGCATTGGGGTGGCATAGAATTAGGAGAAATACCTAATGTAAGTGATGGGGTGATGGAGGCAGCAAACCACCACGGCATGTGTATACCTGTGTAACCTGCATGTTCTGCACATCTACCTAGAAATTAAAGTATAATAAATAGGCTCGGTGTGGTGGCTCATGCCTGTAATCCCAGCACTTTGGGAGGCTGAGGCAGGTGGATTGCCTGAGGTCAGGAGTTCGAGACCAACCTGGCCAACATGGTAAAACCCTGTCTCTTAAAAAAAAGAAAAAGAAATAAAAAAAATTAAAAAGTATAATAATTTTTTTTAAAAAAACAGCTGTCTTCATTTCAGTTGGAAGTGCTGCCCTCCCTTTTCTGCCCAGTCTGATTGACCTTTCAGGTGTTTTACAAAATGATTCAAATCCACCATTTTAATATTCTAGAATCTATCCCTGGATTAAACCAGAGTTGCAGAGGGTTTTATACGTAGACAACCATTCCCATCTAATTATTTTTACTGAATTTTCCTTTAGTTTGATGTTACTATTGTACATTGAGGAATATTACAATCATTCGCCTTATGAGACTTCTTGTTGCCTTTTCTGTAAGGTTGTTGTGGCCATTGTTACACATTGAGGGATATAAGAAACAACCACGTGAGACTTAAAATACCTTTATAGTTGTGGAAGACATTGAGAAGACCCATGAGAGAAATGGGAAAGCCCATGAGAGTTACTGCTGTCTGTTCTTAGTACCAATAGTTTGCATTTCTACTGAGCAGCTAGGGAGCTTTTGATCACATGTAATCAGCTCCTTTTCCCTGTTTTTGTTTTTGTTTTTTTTTGAGATGGAGTTTTGCTCTTGGTACCCAGGCTGGAGTGCAATGGCGCAATCTCGGCTCACTGCAACCTCTGCCTCCTGGGTTCAGGCAATTCTCCTGCCTCAGCCTCCTGAGTAGCTGGGATTACAGGCACGCGCCACCATGCCCAGCTAATTTTTTGTATTTTTAGTAGAGACGGGGTTTCACCATGTTGACCAGGATGGTCTCGACCTGTTGACCTTGTGATCCACCCGCCTCGGCCTCCCAAAGTGCTGGGATTAAAGGCGTGAGCCACCGCGCCCGGCCTACCCTGTTTAACTGACCTAATAGAAATTATGTGGAATTCAAAGATAGAGCCTAAAATAAAAATTAAAAGAAATCATAAGGAGCAATTTGTGGCTCACTTCTTGGAAGAATGCAGGACTTAATGATAAAAGTATTTTTTTTCATTATTTTCATGCTCTTTGCTCTGATTTTTATTACTTTTTCATTTAGTTCAGTTCTAGCTAAAATTCTATGCTTTTTAAAGTTACCTTGCTGAGGGTGGTGGTGTGTGCCTGTGGCCCCAGACACTCAAGAGGCTGAGCAGGGAGGATTGCTTGAGACCAGGAGTATAAGGCCAGCCTGGGCAACTTAGTGAGATCCTGTCTCAAAAAAGAAAAAGAAAATGCTAGTTATTTCATATGATCTTTAGGATAAGGGAGGATATAAAATAAATAAAATTATATCTACTAACATTTACCAGTGTTGCTTTCCTGCTTTCTTTTTAACACTAACGATGGTTTTTATTTTAGTTTTGGGTTACATACTCTTTGGAGGATCTTAATAAATTTGTAAATCTTTGCTCTAGGAAAAAAATGCGTAAACATACCCGTGACATTTTGCATCTGATTTAGGGTACTTTATGAGACTTTAGGAAACCTTATACTAAAGTCATTGTTTATCTGGAATATATTATTTGGCAGATATTTTTCTATAAGCTGGCCATGTCCAATCACGTGAATTACTGACTTTGTATCTTTAAGATGTATTCACTAGCAGCTGGTTTTCAATAATGCTCTTTTTCAGTAGTAAGTTGTGATAGGTTAGGTCTGTGATTAAATCAATGAAAATACTAACAACCAAAAGTAATAACAAGATATTATCAGTGTGGTTGGAAAAAAAATCCCTCTTCAAAGAGTTAATAAGAACTGTTCCTAGAGTAGTGTTTCTGTAATACCATTTGTGGCATTTATCAAGTATCAGTGCTACTTAAACTATTACACAGAACAGGAATTTAAATTAAAGGATGTCATAAAAGTATCAAAGATTAGGTTATTATTTACTAAATGGCATTAATGGTACAAAGGAAATAATAATAGCAAAGGAAAAATGTTTAATTCAAACCTCTATCTAACCTGAATGGCATTTGTTCAAAACATAGGTAAAATATAATTTTTAAGTATTTTCACTGCAAGTTTATTTTATAAGTAATTCTTTTATGTCAATTATTATGTTTTAGTAGAAGTTTTATAGTGAAGTGAGCAAAAATTGTACAAGAGTAGTACTTCTGGTTTGAGTAAGAATTTTATGAAAAATAGTAGCCATGCAGTTTCATAACTAACTGAGTATTTCGGGTGAGTGAGGTATATAACAGTTTATGGTGACTGTTTCGTGTTTGGTAGCATTTTATCTTCTGAGAGCATATGGTTCTTAAAGGAAACTTTTGTCTAGATAACTTTTAAAGAAACAAAATTTTATTTTTTAGGAAGTTAATGTACTGGATTATAGTATATATATTCCAACTAAAATTTAATCAGTTAAAATGAAGTAAATGGAGGAATTTTTTCAAGAAGGCTTTAGTCTGAATTAAGAGCTGCCTCTATATGTTTTCATTTATTACCTGAATGTCACCTTGATACATAGTCTGTCTTCTGATATCTAAAGTAGTAATTCTTAAACTTCAGCACACAAATCACCTGAGAGTACTTATTAAAACATATATTGGTTGGGCGTGGTGGCCAATACCTGTAATCCCAGACCTTTGGGAGGCCAAGGTGGGAGGATTGCTCAAGGCCAGGAGCTTGAGACCAGCCTGGGCAACATAATGAGACCCTGTCTCTACATAGGTTTTTTTAAAAAATTAGCTCGGCTTAGTGATGCATGCCTGCAGTCTTGGCTACTCGGGAGGCTGAGGTGAGAGAATTCCTTGAGCCTCAGAATTCAAGGCTGCAGTGAGCCGTAACTGTACCACTACACCCCAGCCTGGGTGACAGAGGAAGTCCCTATCTCTAAAAAAAAAAAAAAAAAACCAAAATAAAACAAAAAAAAACGTTTTTCATGACTGCAACCTCAGAGATTCTGATTCAGTAAGTCACAGGGTCAGAGATGGGCCCAGGAATTGGTATTTTAAAAAATACCAAAGAGTGTCTGATATAGGTGGACTACATTTTGCGAAACAGCTTTCTAAACAAGATGTAACAGTAGGATCTGAGGTTTAAAATCTGTTCATTTTCAATTCCACTGGTATTTACTGATCAGTTAGTATGTATCAGGTACTTTATTGGGAAGCATCATAAAAGCAGTAGAAAGGCATTGTAAAAGCAGTGCAAAAGTATATTAGTGTTGCCAACTGTTATTGTATTGTGTACATTTAAGACAGTTTTTATAAAGTTATTAGGCAGCTACAGTTTGCTAGAATTTTGTTGTTTGTAAGAAGTGATAGTAGGAAAACATTTAACAGCAAAAGAAAAGACAAAGTTTTTTAAGAACTGAGAGGAAAACAAAGTACAGAGCATGTAAATTAGATATTTTATATTTCAACCTGTCCTGACGCATTAACAATATTTTGGATGAAATACATATCTCTGATTCTTCTCTATTCAATCAATATACAGTATTCCCAGTGTACTCAGTTTATCATATATGGTATTTGGGATTGTGTGTAGTAGTCCTGGCTGATGGAAATATAAATATATTAATATATATAATTATTACCTCACTACAGTCCCATATGTATTTCTCACTCCTATAGTCTACATTTAATATGGCTAGTGCTCTCATTTGTTAGCATTAACATTTTAAAATTTTATATTAAATTTAAAACATTTAATTTTGCAAATCTTATTAGTATTATATGTCCAAAGCTGTTGGAGGGAAAAGCAGTTTCCCATAACCTTGTCATCCTCACTAGCCACTTTTTCTCTTCATCCTGAGAAATTGGTTGATGTGCTTTGGCAGTTTGCCTTGCTTAATACCTCTCAGAAAAATAGGACATATTGCTTTCATGGAAGCAGGGTGACGAAAATGACCTCAATCCCAGACAGACTCAGCTCTCCTCCCTTATCTTACTTGATGCTTCAGGGTTTGATAGTGGCAGGGAGTTGATATTGGTGTTAGTGACAGAAATGACAGCACATTTTACCACTTGCTGGTGCAAGTACAAAGCTGTCATATTTGAAAGCCATGAATATAGCTCATGGAGGCCTGTAGAAAATGTGTGAATAGAATGGGAGAGACACTTAGGACAATTTCACATGTTGTTTTAGTATGGGCAAGGGAAGAAATATTATTGTGATTACGTTTGCTTGGTTCTTCCTGGAAAAAAATGAGTATTTCTTAAAATGTGATGGCTTTTATATTAGTGATAAGCCCACTTTTCCATTTGTTTCTAAATTTCAGTACCATTTTGTTCTAAATGTCTATAAATTGTTGCAAAGTTTAGTATTTATTCTACTTGTTATGATGCTGTGTTTGTTATTAAGTTTCTAGTATGTGCAGCCTGCCAACAGTGTGTCTTTTGCTGTTTTGAACACTTTTTAGAAAAAAGTCAATCTTCAAATGAGTTTTGTTTTGTGAATTCTATCCTACAATTCTGTATTCTATTTGTATTTCTCTAAAAACTTAACATCTTTGAGTATTTTAGGTCTTTTTCCAGCCTTATCTGGGTTCTGTTATCTCCTCACTTTTCTCTTTTATGATATGATCTGAGCTTTTTAAATTTCTAACATTTATTATTGGTCAACTCATTTTTAACTTTCTTAGAGTTCACTCCAGTCCCTGTGTTGGGGGGGCTTACATTCAAGAGTACATACAAATGCTTATCTTGAGATAGAAAGAAAATAGTTGCTAAAAGTTTAGTTTTCTTATTTCTCATCTTATTTAGTGGAAAGGATGAAAAGAAATACATTATTTTATGGTTTTCCCATTGGTTCTTGACTTCATTCTGAAATATAATCTTTTCAGTTGCCAGCTTACCGTTGGCAACTGAAAATTTTAGTTTTTAATTGAAACTGAAAATGTAAATTTTCTAAAGTGATTTTGAAATACAATTTGAAGTCACTTAATTGGAATAGAAAAAGCTTTATTTGTACTTTCATTACTGTTATCCTTTAGAAATGTTGCTATTTAAAAAATTTTCAATCAAAAAACTATTTTCAGCCAGGTGCGGTGACTCAGGCCTGTAATCCCAGCATTTTGGGAGGCCGAGGTGGGCGGATCATGAGGTCAAGAGATTGAGACCATTGTGGCCAACATGGTGAAACCCCGTCTCTACTAAAAAATATAAAAATTAGCTGAGCCTGGTGGCACGCGCCTGTAGTTCCAGCTGCTCGAGAGGCTAAGGCAGGAGAATTGCTTGAACCCAGGAGGCAGAGGTTGCAGTGAGCTGAGATTGCACCACTGTACTCCAGCCTGGTGCCTGATGATAGAGCAAGACTCTGTCTCAAAAAACAAAACAAAACAAAAAACTATTTTTATGTAGCCATTAACAAAGAATGAAGGCTGTATATATATAAGGAGTTGGGTGGCTGCTCGTAATAAATTATTCAGGGAAAAAAAGCGAAGGATGACATTTGTGTTTTACTTTACATACATTGGTATTTTCTCACTGTATTTTTTTAATAGTTAAAATAGTTAGAAAATATGTGTTTAATGGAAAACTGGAATAAACCAATTGAAAAATATATAAAGTAGATAATTTAAAACATCAACTCAAAAATTTCATTCTGAATAGCTTCTAATAACTAGAACATATTTTAATGTTATTTGTTTTACTTCATTGAGTTTTCTGCCTCATCATAGATTCTCGTTTTTGCTTGTGTTATCAATGTAATTTATGCAAAGCATAATTGAATAGTTATTTATTGAGGATAATCTGTTTCTTATGGTCTTCCTTCTGGTCATTGTTTTTAATTCTTCAGTCTCTTATGCCAGTTTTCTTTCCTAACTAGTTAACCCTATTAATTCTGCCTTCACATTGCTGTCACATCTGTATACTCCTTTGTCAAGCTATTGCCATCACTTACTGCCAGACCTTTCACTAGCGATGAAGGTGATGCCAGCAGCTTCCTGTCTTCTGTGTCTTACCTCATCAATTCTATCTATGTATTGCTGTTTGTTTGTTTTTTTGAAGCTCATTTTTTCACCTTGTATTTCCCTGCTGGTATATCTCTTCCGGCTATGGCCCCAGTTTAACTTTCTAGATAAGTTATCCCTACTGTATTACCATTCTTACAAAGAACAATTTGCTCTTCCAGAATATGCTGCAGTGCCTTATTCAGCAGTGTTTTTGTTTATGTTCTTCTTAAATTCAACACGATCCCTTTCTTCTTAAGTCTGAAAGAACTTTATTCTTCTTTTATAGTATTTACCACATCTGCCTCTG